TACTGATAGGCGACCGTGGTAAAAATTTGTGGAAGAAAGGTTAAGTTTATATAAAAGCGACCGTCAAAGACTAAGAAGTGTAATGATGGAAAGCCTATAATAAAGGAAACTATCACTTCGTGAATAGTGGAGTTCAAGAAGCCTTGAAAAAAGGCTGCAGAAATTGCAGAGCTAATGAGAAGGTGACATGTATGCAATGCATTAAATAGAAAAGACAACTGAAGCGTTAGTACTGTCATAGCATTGATTATGGCAAAAATTCCCTTTTTAATGAAGATCCACTTCCCAAATATTTAATTGATAAATAAATGAAAAGTGGGGGGACTATCTGTATTGGGAAAAACTGAATTTAAATATTGAAGGTGACGTGTCATGACACGTGGACCGATCAAATAGTCAAAGCGTGGTAATCAGTTAGAAGGCACGAGCAACAACAGATGCGGGAGAGAAGATGCTTAAAGACACGAGCTATTATTCAAATGAAACGAGACTCGTACCTGTTCGAGTCATTTAAAGCTCGAAGATCAGAAGGAATTGAAGACATGAATCTGATAGCGAAAAAGAGTCCAAATTCAGCATTAAATGCCAAATACGTTAGAGAATTTGTATTTAATATGAATGATTGAGTAACGTTTCTTTTAATGTCATTTATTGCTCGTAATTGCCTCATTAAGACAAAGTCATTACACTTTCTCTTAAAATTAACTATAAAAAGCAAAAGTCACAACATCTGTAGGGGACAAAAAAAATATTACGGGAATAAACTTTGTTCTTTTTGCTTTCTGATTATATCATTCAAAATCTCTTTCTTATATACTTTTCCGATTATCCGTAACTCGAGTTCTTCTAAATTCAAGCTTTGACCTAAAATCTAATTTTTGGTTAATCACTAATCATATGTAACACCACGACTAGCTACTCATGGGGATGCTTATCGGGCGGATTGGGCGGATATTTACGCTAACGGTTTAGCTTATTGGTTATCGGTTTATGAATGTAGTAATACGCTAGCCAACCAATAAGACATCGGGCGGATTGGTATCAGATTAGCTATTATCAGGCAGTTTATCGGATTATCGATTAAGGAAAAATTTGGAGTAAAGCATGACATCTGCTTTGTCTTTGCAATGATTCTAGATGAAGTAAATGAAGCCCTTTGTATTGAAGACTAAACTAAGTAAGACTAGAAAATAGAAATTAAACCCTAATAAAGGTGCTCTTCAAAGCTGAACTAACTGAGTAAGGCTAAACTTTCTTGACTTTTCTTTGTTTTTGCCAATCAAATTCATTCAAAGCTGGAGGGGGTGTAGTATTTGGGCAACGAGATTATCAACAACTTTTAGCTTAACTCATATACTTGTAATTACTCGTAAAAGTGTATATATAAAAATTCTTAACGGATTAATGGTTTATCCGATAAGAAAATTGAGTTAACTGCCCCCAAACTGTTAACCAAACAGGCCTTGCTCCTCATCTTAAGTATTTTAATACCAAACTCTACTATTGGATAGATATAATTGTTTATGACATGTATTTATTGTTTGAGTTGAGTCTAGCTAGAGTGGTTATGATGCGTCTTGAGCAACGTTGAAATGAAAAAATCTGGTTCGAACAACTATCTGGTACAGGTTGCGTTCACGCAGAAAAAATATTATTAATGGGTAATGCAACGACCCGGCCGATCGTTTTAAGAATTTAAATTCCATTCAGCGGCATAAGGTCTTGAACAGCTTCGTATTATGTGTTATGACTTTCGTGCAAGGTCGAGTTCAGTTACCGGATGATTCTTAGTCAAATTGGAAGAAGGATTCTAGTTTTGGAAGCTTAAGCGGTGAGAGTTAACTAGAATTTTTACTTTTGTGTAAACGGCTCCGGAATGGGTTTTGGATGATTTCAACAGCTTAGTATGGTAATTTGGGACTTAGGCGTGCGTCCGAATTTGGATTTAGAGGTCTGTAAGGTAATTTGGAGCATTTCGGTAAAAGTTGGAAAAGTTGAAGTTTGGAAGATGGAGAAGTTTGACCAATAGTTGACTTTGATGATATTGGGGTCGGAATGCGATTCCAAGAGTTGGAACAGCTCCGTCATGTCATTTGGGACTTGTCTGCAATATTTGGCGGCATTTCGGGTTGATTTGATAGGTTTCGGCACGAGTTTTAGAAGTTGGAAGATTTGAAAGTTCATAAGTTCGATTCATGGTGCGATTCGTCATTTCGACGTTGTTTGATGTGATTTAAGACCTCGAGCGTGTCCGTGTTAGGTTATGGAACTTGTTGGTATGCTTAGACGGGGTCCTGGGGGCCTCGGGTTAGTTTCGGATGGGCTACGGGCCATTTCCTTCTATTTTTAGACTGTTGTTTTCTGTCATCTAGTTTCCTTTATCGCGTTCGCATCCTTGCCTTCGCGTTCGCGTAGTGTTATTTTGGAGGATGAAATATTTCTTCGTGTTCACAATCATTCTCTCGTGTTCGCAAACTTCTGCCACTTCCTCCTTCGCGTTCGCATACTCCTTCTCGCGTTCGCGAAGGTGTGCTAGTCCACTCTTCGTGTTCGTGTATTACTTCCCGCGTACACATAGTTCAAACCTAGGTGATCAGATCTTTCCTCTACGCATTCGCGAGCCAGTTGTCGCATTCACGTAGTACAAACTAGGCAGCTTTCATTTTTCTTCTTCGCGAAGGCGATCGTTCTTCCGTGTTCACGATGCTTTAAGATCGAGGGTTTGCCATTTTCACCATTTTTGGAGTTCTAGAGCTCGGTTTTGAGCGATTCTTGGTGGGTTTTTCAAGAAAAATGATTGGGTAAGTGTTCCTCGCCTAGAATTTATTATATTCCATGATTTTATCTTTATTTTTATCATTTAATTTGTGTTTTCGGTTGAGGAAAAATGGAATTTTAAGAAAACTTTCAAAATGTAAAATGATGATTTGAGGGGCGCAATGGTATCAGAATTTGATAATTTTAGTATGGTTGAACTCGTATCGGAATGGGTGTTCGGATTTTGTAAAATTTGTCGGGTTCCGAGGTGCGGGCCCGGGGTCGACTTTTGGGTTGATTTTTTAATTTTTACAAGATTGAGGCTTTATGATCCGGAATAGTTTCTTATGAGTTTTATTTATGCATTGAAGTTATTTTGGCTAGATTTGAGCCGTCCGGAGGTCATTTCACCCGAGAAGTTCATTACAGTATCGCTCTATCTTCTTTGAAGTAAGTATCTTGCCTAACCTTGTGTGGGGGAACTACCCCTTAGGATTTGAGTCTTCTATGCTAATTGTAGTCCGTGTACGCGAAGTGACGAGTACGTGCTCGGTCTTATTTGTGGAATGTTGGCCTTTTAGGGTCTTAGGTTCTCGTATTCACTTAGTATGAAGTTGTTTTGTTATGATTGAGTTTTCTTAATAACTAGTTTCACACTACCTGCTTTCACAACACCGCTACGGGGTCGTTTTCACAAAAGTCAAACCTCGGTCAACATTTTCGGCTTAAGCTTCTAAAGTGAGAATCACTCATCCAAATTCATCCCGAAGCATCCGAAATTCAAATTCGACAATGCACGCAAGTATTAATACACAATAGGAAGCTACTCAAGACCTCAAACCACAGAATAGAACCTTAAAGCTCAAAATGACCGGTCGGATCGTTACAAGACAATGCAGGGTTCCATGTCGACAGGAAAAGCACTTCAGGACCAGCACACTTTCTTCGTTGTTGTCTAGTGTTTTGGGGAACAAAGAATCAGAACTCAGTGGCTCTATCTACAGCTGAAGCAGAATATGTGGCAGCAGCATCTTGTTGTGCTCAATTGCTATGGATAAGGCAACAACTCAAGTGGGTTTTTAGTAGATATTTGCTTATTTGGTTTTGTTTAAATAATGTCGTTTTTTTAAAATTTAAAACCAATCAAACTAAGTAAAAGCACATTTTGGTTTTTTACATAGATATTTGCTTATTTGATTTTGTTTAACTCTTCATTTTTTCTTGAACGTCATAAGTACAACAGGAGCATGGCTTGTTTAAATATGACTTGAATTAATGTTGGCTGATATAGACTAGATCCAACTTCTACATCTCAATTAAGTAAAACCATAATTAAGAGCATATATTGGTCAAATACTTCAATTAATAACATCCGAATAGATTTATGAAATTCAATATCATAATCTAAAAAAGATTATCAAATGTAATGTCATAAATTATTATCCAAATGGGCTAAATTACCTGCTCATGCCCAAGCCCAAAATGAGGTATAAATATAGGTGGAAAATTCAAGAATTTTGACATTAAAAAAATATAGAGAAATTTTCAAGAAGCACCATCTTTTAGTGATAATTAGCTATTTATAGATACCATTTGCTATATTACATCCTATAGATACGTTTTTAGATGTATTTAGATGTATTTAGATTACTGTATTTATGAATACATTAGGAAAAAAAGGCGTCAATCATGGAAATCCAGTTAATAAGATTTTGTATTCAAATGTATTCAAGATCTTTAACATTGAATACAGTAACGTATTTTCCTTAAAAAGGGACCTTTCAACTAATTTAAAACGGAAACAAAATCAATCTAGCAAATAGTCTCCTAATATAACTCAACTAACACAATTATATCACCCATAATCTGTATTTCCCCCTCCATTGAAGATTTTCCATCCGAAAGTACTCAAAAACAGAGCAATCTGTGGATTTTCAATTCTCCCTTCTTTCTTTTCTTCTTCTTCTTCTGTTACAGTTTGTAGAAATAAATTCCAACCAAGAAAATTTCATATTGATAGAATTGTATACGAAACACGTTCAAATTCGATTTTGCATATGGCAACTTTTACAATTTTATTGTGACATTCTGGAAAGTGGAATAGTGAGAGTATGCGACGTATAATGATGTGGTCGCATCAATTTCAAAGCAATTGGACATAGATTTGAGCTCAAAGTCAATTAAAATTCAATACAAAGTAGAAGATAATTCAACGCCAATGGAAATACACATTGAAAGATGTGATGGAGCACTACGCTATATCAGAAAGGTTTCAATTCCGGGTTGATAGGTCTAATTTAATCAGGTTTGAGTGTTCTTAAGTATTCATTATTTTTTTGTTTATGGTATTTCTGGTTGGATTTGTAAAGTGTATGTAGGTGTATTTAGTTGTATTTGTGAATTTTTACTTGACCTATATTGGTGTGTGTTTTTAGTTATTATGTATTAATAATACTTGTATTGTTGTGGAGCATTGCGCTAGTACAGAAGAATTGAATATAAAATCAAACTATTTGTGGATGTATTTAGCTGTATGCAGATGTATTTAGCTGCAATACGTATGTAGATGTATTTAGCTGTATGTAGTGGCTCTAACTGTTTTTTATTAAGTGTATTAGCTGCATTTAAATGTATGCTTATAAGTGTAGTTGTATTCAACCTTGAACACTGTATATATTTGTGTTGTATAATACTCTATATGTATATATAGATGCAATAATATATTCAAATTTATATGAGTGTTTTTTTTGTAAGTATTTATACTGATCATATGTGTAATAATAAACTTCTTTGCAGCTATGCATTATTATGTATGTCTGATGATTGTGAATGGAGGTTTAAGGCTTCTAGCATTAACAAATCACAATTGTTCAAAGTGAGAGAGTTCAATGATAAGCATACATGTCCGTTGAAGGATTTAACTGTATATATTTCAAGGTAGCAATGAAAGTTGTATCCTATATTCTGTCAAGACTACTCTTTAATATTCTGCCAGCATTCCTTTAGTATGTATTCATCTATATTCAATGTATTTATATGTATATACATGTATGTCTTTGAATTTTGTATGTTTAAATATACTTGTATTTTAATACAATATATATTGTATTTCTTAAAACTAAATAAAATTCTAATACTATATATTAAAATCATATTCTTTTATATTCTTTGATATATATATGATTTATTTTTTAAAATGTAGGTTGTGCCATTGACCGAATATTTGCATACGATGAAGGATGAAGGAAGGCAATACACAGTATGCCTTTTAGAGAAAAAATGCAGTTGTGGGCGGTTCCAAGTCGACGAATTACCGTGCCCACACGCTTGGGCTGTACTGAAGAGCAAGTTTCTAATGCCAGAAGATTATTGCTCTGATTATCACAAACCAAAGTCAGTTGTAATGACATATGAGGTGCCCGTGTATCCTTTGCCTGACCGGAAAGAATGGAATATACCAGCCCATGTAGCAGATGAAGTTGTATTACCACCCAAATGGAAAAGACCTCCTGGAAGAGCAAAGAAGAAGCGTGATAAGCCGTTGATTGAATTGCTGCAGAAGAAAAATCAACATTCGTGTAGCATATGTGGGCAGGAAGGACATACTAAGCGTACTTGTAGAAATGCTCCACGTAGAAATTAGTTCACAATATGACTTGTATTAATGAAAAACGATTTGTCATGTATTACGGTGTCATTTCGAATATATTTTGGATATATTTAGTTGGTGTATTAAATCTGAATACGTAATTAAAATACGACCATTATATCTTCATAATATATGAATATAGATGAATACAATCATTGAATACATATGATTAAAATAAGTTATATACACAGGGTATGACTGTATCATAAACAGAACTGATGATTTTTTTCAAATACATATCGTATATCAGAGATTGAATATGATTTATGAAAATTAAATACATGTATTCGAATACACTTGAATATATATTAATACAATCTGTTATACACGTATAGATGTCTAAATATGTATTGTACAAGGGTCTAAATAGACTTGAATACATTTGCATATAAATGTATACAGATGAATAAAATCAGTTATATATAAAAAGATGTATTCAAAATACAACTGAATACATATCAATGCAATATATTATATAAATATGAAGGTCTAAATACACCTGCTGAAAATATGTGAACATAACCTGGTGAATACATATAAATACAACTTAATAACTGACTATTACAATAAGTTAAATACATATAAATACAAAATATTGCATACATACTAATACAAACTGATATAAACATAAAAACCCAACAGGTTGAAGGACAGATTAATTCAGAAGCAAAAAAAAGAGTTAATAAATCGATTGGATGCTTGAAATGATAATATATAAAAACTGTTGATATGGTCACTAAATTACCAACACCCTTTCCAACACACTATCTTTACAAACACAGTGTCCAAGAAAAAGAGTATTCACAAAAACTCCCATCGAAAACTACATTCACCTACGACTACTCTAACATTATCTTCACCGACGTATCAGAATCGGTGATGTGCCTAAAAATCTTTGAAGGTGCTTCGCTCTCGCTTACGGCATCAACGTCTATCTTCCGCATAACATAGTCCCAAAGGAGGGCACCATATCTTTGACGGAGCAAATTGGCATCAAATTTTATTTGTGGAACCATCCCAACGGTGCTAAGAAACTCTGCGTATGCCGCGACATGTATCCCACAATCCCTGAAAGAATACACCAAAACAGTTACAAACAATTCATTTAAAAAAGGTTTCATATTCATCTTCAATACATTAACTCATTGAGTATTATGAATACATATAAATACAAAAAGATACAGTTAAAAATTGAAATATACACTAATACCAAATAGTACAAAAATGTGAATATATACATACAACATGCAAGGAAAACTGTAATAAGTACTGAAATACAGAGAATGTAAATTTGAATACATCAAAATACATTTAAATACAACATAAAATACTCAAGTAAGCACAACTCAGTTATTGACAATGTGAATGTGCAAATGAGTTCTGGATTGTTTTAATACTTATGAATACAACTAGATACATACGAATACAACATCATACATATAAAATAACGTGAATAATTATGAATACATACAAGTTTCTTTGAATGCATATTGATACAATAGCAATTACCTTTACGTGCCGTGTATCTGATGTTTTTTTTGCATCAACTTCCTTAACATTGACACATGAAGAATCCTGGTGAGTAAACAATAACAATGATCAGTGTTTCAGAAACAAAAAGAAATATAAGAATTAAAATCAGAAAAGCAAATAATGAAACAAACAAATTCGTCAATTGATTAACAAATATAAACCTTCCCTCTAAAAGGACAAAGACTAAGTAGAAGCAAACTGTATTCGTCGTGATTGGCTCAAGGAGAAAGATTCTCTTTGATTTTAATCAGAAAAGCAATGTTAATCAGAAAAGCAAATACTGAAACAAACAAAAAACTAAAAATCTGTACCAAAATCAGAAGAGCAAAATAATAATATCAAAATCAACGAATTAAACTTACCCTAAGCGATTGTAAAGGAGTGATAATGGAGGAGAACTTGAGAATTTGGGTGGGAGAAGAGGTATGAATCGTGGGCTGAGGGAGAAAGAGTAAAGTGTATGCAAAAAGAGAGAGAGAACGTGGTTAGTCAATTTTACGGTGATTATGTGAGAGAAAAGACTAAAAAGGAGAGAGAAAAATATTATTTAGCATATATGGTGCCTTAAATGTAGGATGTAACTATAATTAGATATTTGGCTATTGATAATAGGTGAATTTGACTATAATCACACCGTAAATAATCACCTTCTTGTGTAGTTTTAATGCTAAAAGTGATAACAAAATGCTCTTATTAGTGCTTTTCATGATTTGCAGGTGATATGTGTACAAGGAAGGCTAAAAGAGGCCAAATGTGTAAAATCCCAATGAAGCCACGCCCTGCCAGCCCTTAGAATTCAGAGAACTGGTTTGGCCGCGGTTCTATCGCGACCGCGGCAGAACCGCGGTGGAAAGCAGCTGCAGAACTTTAGTGATTCCGCGAGGGTGATTGACCGCGGTTCTATCGCGACCGCGGCAGGCGCGAAAACTTCAGGGGTCAAAGTGTCAAATACGGGATTTTTAGACCTAAACCCTATTTAAAACATTAGACTTCGCCCAAGAGAGGCATGTATTGATTTTTAAGGTTTCTTAGCAAGGAAAACCATTGTGAGAGAATACTCTAAACATCTTTCTTCTTTTCTTTTGAGTTTTATGATGAATTCAATCTTAGTTTATTTTCCCACAGCCATGAGTAGCTAAATTCCTTGTCTAAGGTTTTGATGGAACCTATTGGGTGATGAACTTCTTATTTATGTGAATACAAATTGCTAGTTCAATCTCTATTTGTTCAACTTCGTGTTTGTTGTAGTTAATTGACAGGATCCTCAACTAGCTGTGCCTATTTAGTGTGCATAACTTGGAAAAGAGTGCATATTTGGGGTATTGTTGAACAACACCACTCCTAGATTATTAGAGGAATCTATAATTGCGGGTTTAAAGGCGGGATTAGGGATAACGAAGCCTTGGGTGTAATCTAAAGTGAATTGTGCTAAATAAAGTAAGCTAGTGTATCTCGGGAGAGTGCAATAGTAGATTACTGTGATTACTCGGGAGAGATTTGCGGTAAGATTAGCGTTCATGATTGATAGAGATGTGTGGGTAAATTTGTATGAGCATAAACAGAAGGGATTCCATCAATAGGGGAAATCATTGCCTTAGCTTTTCCTCATAATTGTTTACAACCTTATTAATTTAGTTTACAGCCATTTAGTTACTTGCAAGCTAGTTGTTAAAGAACAATCAACTGAGATTTGAATATTTGGGAAGCTGGTTCTGAAGAATTAGTGGGTCTGAAGATAGTGGTTGATAGGTTAACTCTCTGTGGATTCGACCCTGGGCGTAGTACTCGGGTTATATTTGCAACGTCCGCAGAGTCCTTTTTATAAGGCATAGTTGGGCGTGATCAAATTTTGGCGCCGTTGCCGGGGAGTTAACGGAATTATCAATTGCCATTGACGGTTGTTGATCTGGGTGCGCAGGTGTGTGCCTAGAAATTCTACGAGGACTGGAGAACTACTTGAAGGACTCTCAGACCCCAAGAAGACATTCCGGGCATTGAATCGTGCCAACAAAAGACTTCAACAATCCCAACAAACACACCAATTCAAAATTGACATGGGCGACATAAACGATCCCAACGGGAACGTCAGGAATGAGCAATTGGCACCTCCTGTGCCTGAGGGTGCACTATATGATTGGGCACAACCCACAACAGACAATTTGGCCACTGCCATTATTGTGCCCGCAATACAAGTTGAATCGTTCCAGATCACAAATAACGTGCTACACTTGTTGCAGAACAAAGGACTCTTTTTTGGGACACAAATAGAAGATCCTCAGCAGCACTTAAAGAACTTCCTGTCTATATGCAAAACCCAAAGGCAACCCAACGTGACCCCGGAAGCAATCAGGCTATTATTGTTTCCATTCTCGGTGACAGGAGCTGCTCAGGTTTGGCTAAACTCGCTTCCCATAAACTCTATAGCAACTTGGGATGAGTTGGTCAAGCAATTTCACAACATGTTCCATCCGCCCAACAAAACTGCTCAACAAATTGATGAGATTGTGAGCTTCAAACAGAAACCAATGGATACACTACACGAGACATGGGGCAGGTTTAAAGGAATGTTGGTTATGTGTCCTCACCATGGTGTTCCAGAACAGATGTTGGGTCAACGGTTTTACATGGGACTGTCAGACAACTTGAACAATATCGTTGATGCCTCGGCTGGTGGGGCATTCTTGAGCAAGACTTGGAGAGAAGGTCAGAATTTGCTCGACAAGATGGCGCAGAATTTGGGTTGGACATCTAGGAATGCACCTATCACTCCAGTGGTGCACTCAGTGCCTCTTGATCCTTCTAATACAATGGCTGAAAATATGGCGACTCTCTTGACACAAATGAGCATCCTCACCAAAAAGGTGGAGGAATCAGGGCAGAAGCAACAGGTTCATATAGTAGATACTACCAATGGGGGCTTGTGCATATCTTGCATTAGCCAGCCAATTGGTAATCCTTGGAATAAAGAGCATGATCATCATCAGCAGCACCCTGAAGATATGAACTATGTGGCTAACTATGGGGTTCAGAGGTAAGGTAATCAGAACTGGGGTCAGCAGACTCAGCAGCAGTACAGGCCACCTCAGCCACAGTATAATGCCGGAAACATGGGAGGCATGAGACCCCCCAACAACATGGAACCGTATCCTAGACCACAGGGGTACAACAATCAGTAGCAAGGGTACCACCCACCTCAGCAACAGCAGGGTGGACGACAGGAAGCAAGACTTGAAGCAATGATGCAGCAGGTTATTGGGTCCAATGCTAAGATACATGAAAGGGTGGATGCACATGATGCAGCTATAAAAAATATTGAGGTACAAGTGGGCCAGATTTCAATGTCACTTAACAATCGTCCTCAAGGGACATTACCAGCAGATACCCAAATCAATCCAAAAGATCAGGGCCCAAAGCAGCTGATGGCGGTGAGTCTTCGGAACGGTAGGGATCTAGATGTTGAG